AATGGTAACAGTGAAATTGAATAATCAGGAAATGTCAATAGACTTAAGTTTATTAATCATAAATATGTGGGATATAAAAAGATCAGATGGGGCTCTTTAGGACAACATGGCCTGGCTTAACAGTGAGTAGTGCAAGGTAGAGGTTTCTGAGGTTTCTCTTTACATCTAAAAAGTGTTATATTTGCTGCTCTTATTTTTTGATCAAGTGGTTTATAACAGTACTCTACTCAAAAGGTTCCCCAGAAATATTTAAAATACTACCCATAACTTCACTAGGACAGACACAGGCTAGAACTGCCAGTGAGTACAGAAAATACACCTTTAAGCAGGGAAGACATGGATGAAAATATATTTAAGTTACATGAAAAGGACCTTTAGAGATTCTGTGATTTGCACACACTTTCAAAATGGCAAACATGAAAAACAGCCACTACCACTTTCCCTTCTCTCAACTGATCAACACAAAAGTACAGTTTAGAAGCATTTAAGATATTCCCACATTTATTACTGTAACTACAAAGGTGTTCGGCCATCTCCAGGCCATGAAACATTCTATTTTGTATGAGTTTTTATCTGAAATTCTACAAGTAGACTGCTGAGAATGTCAGGACCTACCCATGAAATGTGTTTCATCAAAATGTGAATGACATTACTTTACCTATCGAAAACCAGATCAAAATTAAAACCGCAGAAAGATTTCTATCTTTCATTAGACCTAATTGGTTTACAACTAGGGTTTAAGCAGTTATGTCTTCATGCATACTATGTTTTAACTGTACCATGTCCCAGTAGTTCAATAAATGGTCGACTTTTCTTACTTTCTGGTACATTCTCCACTACCTTCTCTTCAATCTCTACATTCACTTATGGTGTCTGACACAAAGTATGACTCTGCTAGATGAACTGGACTGTAGTTCTATCAGAATGCAGTTACAAACACTGCATGAATATTTGGAATTAAGGCTGAGCTACCAAATTGACAGTCCAAACGTCGTTGGCAGCTAATTAAATAAGCATATCCCATTCTACCACACACTAAAGTTGAAGATTAGAGAATGCAGGCCAAAACACATTCCAGGCTCAGGACTGAATTTTCCTTTGTTTTATGAGTTTAGTTACTTATGCTTAAAAATAGCCAACTGAATTCCTTTTTTTCTTAGATCTAGGCCAAATTAACAAGAAGACACTTCTTCCTATGGCCAAGAATGTGCATACAAGAGAATTTTCTAGAATAAGGCTTGCTCTGTTGAGTTTAGTTTGGTGTGATGTTTACATAGCACCGCTTCAAAGGTCCAAACAAAAGACAACGCCTTGTCTTAATAATTGAGGGTCTTTTCTCTCTTGGTGAATGAAGAAGCCTCGCTGTTCCTCTTTCAGAAACAGCTTAATACAACAAAAATAATGCAAGCAACAGGATCAAAGGGGATGATGCTGGGGATTCTCTTTCTGAGGTTTTGGGCACCATCTTTGTTAACTTATAGTCCCAAGTTTATGTTCTATGCTTTAAGAGATAGGTGCATCCTGGATACTGGGTGCCCGCTGAACAGCTTTAAGTTATAGGGAAAAGACGGCAAGGATAAAGGTCACTTCGTGCCTGCTGGCAATTTTCTGACCCCACCTTCCACCAACTGGTCCCCAGCATGTCCCCTAAGATAGAGGCAGGTCTGAATGCCCTGACCCTGGATGCATTTCTCATTATACACCGCAGTGTGATGGATCTGTGTGTGTACACACAGGCACAACTGGGAGGCTGGTCTATGCAGTGAGTGGGGCAGAGTGGAAAAGAGCCTCCCTGGAATTCAACTGTTCAGTAAAGTTGATTCACTAACTTCAGAGGAGCTGTTGGAATGATCCCATAGCCCCCAGAATCTGTGAGCAGTAAAGTCAGTCCTGCTTCAGCCGACTTTCCTCTCCCCAATATTTCACAGGAGTTTCACATATGGAGGATCTGGATGAGGGTCAAGAGTCTCATGAAATTCTATAAAATCACTGCCTGTATTAGTCTACTTTCACACTGCTATAAAGAGCTTCCCTGAGACTGGGTAATTAATAAAGGAAAGAGGTTTGACTCACAGTTCTGTATAGTTAGGGAGGCCTCAGGAAACTTGCAATCATGGTGGAAGGGGAAGCAGGCACTTTCTCCACAAGGCGGCAGTGGACAGGAGTGAAGGAAGAACTTCTAAACATTTATAAAACCATCAAATTTTGTGAGGACTCACTTGCTATCATGAGAACAGCATGGGGGAAACCACCCCCATGGTCCAATCACTTGCCTCCCTCTACATGTGGAGATTACAGGTCCCTCCCTCAACCCATGGGGATTACAATTCAAGATGAGATTTGAGTGGGACACAGAGTCAAACCTTATCACTGTTTTAGGAATTCACAGGTAAGATTAATACCACTGTTGCCAGAAGGGCAACATAAGGAACATGACCACAGTTCCTAAAATGAGATCTACAGTTGAGGCTGGTGTTTTGGTTAGCCCAGACAGCTCTCCTTCCCTCTTCAGGTCACAAGTTATCACTGAGCTGTTTGCACCACCCTTGCATATATTTATGGTGTCAGTCCACCTAAGAATGCCTAGGGATTTTGTTGTAATAACGTGTTAGATCACTGTGGGATCATCTTGAGCCTGAACTCAGTGTGCACACGTGCCTATGTCTCTCAGTGGCTGTGTGACGCTGTGCCCACACACTATTCACCTTGCTTTTCTTTTCTGTTGGGTACTATTCCTATTTACCTTTGATTCTGTGTTTTTGAGAACTTGTATTAATGCAAGCCAAGTTTTCTGGCACCACCACCAGTGCAGAAATATAACTGCTTTATCACTGGAGGTGATATCCCTTCTGGCAAAGGCTGTACAACTAAGTGGAAATGCTCTGGAGAGAATTCAGACATCCACTGAGCAGCTGAAATTTTAAAGTCTACTCAAACCTAGACAACTAATGATCCTATATCTTAGTATCACATAGTTTACTGTAAGCTTTGTTGGGGCTATATCGAACGTGCATTTTAGACAATTCAAATATCTAAAAGTAGTGGTTCTGGGGCGTTTAAAAAAATACAGATGCCTAGGTCCGTACATTTTATTTCAATTAGTATGGAGTAGGTCCCCAATTAAAAACTTCCCAGAAATTCTGATGTGCAGCTAGCATTGACAACTACGATCTAGTTATTTCATTTTTGATTCATCACATGATAAAACTAAAATCTAAAGCCAGTTTCTTAAAGTCACACAGGGTAGTGAATATGCATGATGCTTCTGAAGTGAGTGAGTGCATACCATATCACATTTATTTGCAAAGATAATATCAGCAATTTGGACAAGACAATTCTTTGTGATGTGGGATTTCAGGGACCTTGAAGTTCTGATCCCTTCCGTCTAAATGCCAGCAAGCTTCCCAGTCGTTGTAATAACCTGTAACACTCCACACACTTCCAAATGCTCTGTAGGTGGCTGAGAGCCTTTTAACAGGTGTAACTGGCTCCAAAGACAATAAATATTTCAGCTAAATTTCAGCCCTCAAACATTTACTTTCAGTTCCTGAAATGGTGGCCTGGAAACTTACCACGGATCTAACAGACAAACTTTAGGTTTTAAAGTGTTTGTTATCCCTGAGATGAAAAATTTTAAAAAGTAAACACCTGAGTTATATATAATTGATTAAACATGGCATTTATCTCATTTCATTCATTTTTGTAATGAAGTTTTACCTAGCTCTCTGAATCTCTAAAATGAAAAGCCAGAAGTGCATACTGACAGATTCCAACCGTTGGTTAACAACTCCTCACTCCAAGTCTCTCCTCTCCCTATCAAAAAACAAACAGAACCAAAAACCAAAACCAAACAAACCCTGCAGACAGTAAGAGCAGTTACTCTAAACTAAAGTTTTAGACTATTGTGAAGGTTTTTTGTTTGTTTGTTTAATTAATATTCAAATGGATGTGTGGGAGGATGTGACGATAAATAAATCAGAGTCCCTTGAAAGTTAAATTCCTGGAGATTCCAAGGCCCATTACCAATAGCAACTTTTAGAACAAAGTTTTCCACATATTCTTTTTGCAGACGTGCAAGATACTTCACTTTCCACAGATTTTCATATCCATCAACCAGCCTGTGAGTATTTACAAATATGTGACTTCAACAAGTGCGGAGATTGCTGACTCTTGGGTGGCACTGGATAAACTATCAATGAGATGGACAGAATAGGTCTTTTAGGTAGACGGAGTCTATCCAGGCCACTTTCGGTATGAGGAGAAAGGGGGATGCTCAGGTTTACTGAAGTTAGTTTATATCTCGAGAGCACCTCCCGCCAGAACTACGCTACCAGTCTTGGATTGTGGTCAAATGATTTCGAGAAAATGACCATATTTTAATGAAATTCTAGAGAATGACTGTATTTTTTCCCTATTCAAAACAATTCATATATCATATTTATAGAGCATTTCCTGCTCTGGAGGCATTCTATTATGGAGGATAGGACTCCAAGTAATAAGTTCAATTAGCAATACATGAATTCAAGTATAACAAGTAAAAGCAGGAATGGCAGGTTTGGTGGGAATCTGGTCAAACAGAGTAGGATGGGAATAATTGTTCCTAAATGAACTAAGACCTAATCCAATCTCATGCTTCCAAGCATATCTCTGTAGACAAAACACATTGGCATTACAACACATTACTTAGTTTCCATGAGGGTCACATTTATTTCCCATATTTTTTTTCAGATATTTATTGGATGTCAAAATTATCTTGCTAGTTTGATGTAACCTGGCAAAGGTACTTTACAAATGTATGTAATTTTTGGAAACGTGACCAAATTGTGAATGTTTGTCCAGCTTTTGAATAATAATAGTGAGCTACTGAGAAATAATTATGAGACATGTAGTCCATTTTAATATTCAATATGCCAATTATTTATCAAGAGGAGACAAACAGGATGAAAAAGCAGCAAAATTAAAACAATTCATACAGAAAAATGTCACACTTACTTTCTTACCTGAAATATTTTAGTGCTTGGGCTTCTTATTGAATTTGGTCGTGGTAAGATGAGTTGTGTCTTTTTAAAGAAATAAGCAGTCTTCAGTGTTTTTATAGCATTGGTTACTACAGAAATTATACTTCTTTTACTTCTTGTCTTGAAGGGTGAACAAAATAAACAAACTGAAAATACTACAATGAATGGTAGATGGTGAAAAATTTACAGTACAAAAAACAGTGTAAAAAGGAAGACAAGTTTAAATATTGTTGTGTAAGAAAGTGATGAAAATAATACAAGAATGAGAATAAGTAAAATGATAGGCTGGAACATCTGGGAAGGTAAATGCAAAGACAAAGAGAAGAGTTAATTAATAATAATCTTTAAAACTTAAATTCACATCAACTAATTTAAGCATTCATTCAACTTAAGATACAAAAGAACCTCCACCCTCCCTTAAGCCTATATCTATAAAATCTGAAAGCCTAATTTTATACACAGCACTTTCTCTCACTCTAATTTCTATTATTTTCCCTGAGGGTATAACTGAATACATAACAAAATTCAACAAGTTTTATCATAAAACAGTATTTTTCATAGCAAAGCGGAGCAACATGCAAGATAAATAAGCGATAGGGTTGCAATTTTTCTAGCTGTACCAACAGGCAGTTAATCTAAAATCATGCTTCTGTACATAAACTGGCTTTTAAATGTCTTGCGTGTCTTAAAAGCCATGCATGCTGTTGTACTTCCGTGGGTTCTCCAATGGATACAGGACACCAGGCTTGCCAGAGGAAACAGCATTGCCTGTTTTGTTTCATAAATTATCTTTCATGTGGTTAACTCTGATAAAATGCATTGGTCTTTAAATGGCCACCATACCTGGCCAAAGCAGCTCAGTCCAATTCATCCGGTGTGCCTCTACAAATCAGGATGGAGGAAAAATGCTGGTTTTCCCTGTTCTGGAATAGTTATTACTATTTCTCTGAATTAGTGTTGCCTTCAAGCTACCGTATAGACTCCTTCCCCAGTACTGAGATTCTCCACTATACAACTGAGAGTGATTTTTCTCTGGAAATAATGATCATGTTATTTAAACTTATGGTAAAAAAAAAAAAAAAAGTGGCTTTCATTTGTTCCTTTCAGGGGGCTGCAGACACAAAATCATGTCCCTTTACCACTGGTTTCTACATTTACCAACAGTTATCCATCAGTTCTATTTAATTAAATTATTTTTTTTTTTAATTGACACAGAGTCTCTCTCTGTCACCAAGGCTAGAGTGCAGTGGTGCAATCTTGGCTCACTGCAACCTTCCTCTCCCGGCTTCAAGCGATTCTCCTGCTTCAGCCTCCCGAATAGCTGGGATTACAGGAGTGCGCCACCACACCAGGCTAATTTTTGTATTTTTAGTATACACGGGGTTTCACCATGTTGGCCAGGCTGGTCTCCAACTCCTGACCTCCCGCCCTCCTCAGCCTCTGGGATTACAGGCATGAGCCACAGTGACCGGCCATCAATTCTGTTTTAGCTTTTTTCTTTCTTTTGAGACAAGGTTTCACTCTTGCCCAGGCTGGAGTGCACTAGTGCAATCACCACTCACTGCAGTCTCCACCTGCCTGGGCTCAGGAGATCCTCCCACTTCAACACTCCGGATTACAGGTGCATGTCACCACAACCGGCTAATTTTTTGTGTTTTGGAGAGACGAATCTCGCCTTGCTGACCAGGCTGGACTCAAACTCCTGAGCTCAAGCGATCCGCCCTCCTCGGTCTACCAGTCTAGTCATTTTTTTAAAATCCTAAACTCAATATGGATCTTGACTCGAAAACCACAAATCAGCAGCTAAATATTCCTATTCAGGACCATCTTGCAGTTCATCTGCTAGCAGAATAACAGAAAAATATTGACCTTCTAAAATAATACTGTGCCTCAAAATCTCAAAATCCTTTACTCTTTCCACAAAAATTGAGGGTAATCAATGGTGTTAACGTTTCCTTTTAAACAAAACACAGGAAGAAATGGTGACTACATGATGGAGTCACAAAAACCTCATCCCTGCAGGACAGTGTGGAAGAACGGGTGGGCCGGCCGGGGGTTTCAGGCCCCACTGCGGCCCTGAGCGGGTGCTTCCCTCAAGCGGGGCACGGCAGTCCGGGCGCCGAGACGCCCCCCTGGGACGCGGCTCCGCGGGCCAGCCTGGCCACCGCCGTGGCTCGCAATAGGCAGAACTGTACCTGACTCACGGAAATGGGCTCCTCGGCGCCGCGGTCGTCCGCAGACTTGGGCACCTCGAGGCGGTCGATGAAGGTCTGCAGCTCCTTGCGGAAGGCCTTCATCTGCGCGTTGATACGGTAGAGCAGCTCGTGCTCACGGATGCGGCTGCCGTCGTCCTCCTCGTCCATGAGTCCGAACAGGTCCCCGTTGGCCACGTAGATGCGCGCCTCGGTGATGATGGTGCTCGTGTCGGCGATGAGCCGGTCGATGGTCTTGCCCAGGCGCTCGGCCTCCGACCGGATGTCCTTCATCTGCTGCCGATCGGAGAAGCTCTTGGGCCAAGGCCCGGGCGCCGGGTAGAAGGAGCGCGTGGGCGTGAGGCAGCGGATGTTGCGCACCTCCTCCGAGTCGCTCTCGCCGCCGATGGGCCCTTCGCGCTTGCGGTGCGGCGGCCGCGAGTCGTCGTCGCTCTCCTTCTTGCCTGCGTCGCTCTCAGCGTCGCTGTCGCGGGGGCTGCCGCGGATGCCCAGGTGCGAGGCCAGGTCGTAGCGCTGCATGTTGGACATAAGCACGCGATTCTCGTACTGCAGCTGCATGACCTTGCCGCTGAGCTCGTTGATCTGCAGGCGCGCTGCCTTCAGCTCCTCCTGCAGGGCCTCGGTCTTGGCGTTGTCGTGGTGCCGCGCGCTGTCGTGACCGCCGGACTTGTATTTGTACTTGTTGAGCTCCGCAGTGATGCGCTTGTTCTGCTCCTCCAGGTCGGCCACGTTCCTCCGCAGCAGCTCCGTCTCGTCTTCCACCAGCTGCAGGTGCTGCCGCAGCTCTGACAGGGATTCGCTCTGCTCCCTCATGAGCGGGTTGGCCGAGCCGTTGAAATCATCACCCCTAAGGTCGTCCAGTTCCGCCTTCAGGCCTCTGTTCTCCACCTCCAGTTCGACGATTTTCCTGCCCAGGATGTTGGCTTCTTCCTCCACCAGCCTTAGCCGTAGCTTGAGCTCGGCCTCCCTGGTGCTGGGAGGGCCCCCAGCTTCTCCTTTGGGCAAAGGACTGTCCAGATCCCCATAAAAGGATCTGTACTTCTGAAGCTCGTGTTCAAATCTGTCCTTTTCTTTATCAATCTTGGCCATTTTCTTTCTCATCAAAGCGGCTTCTTCCTTAACGAACTGCAGCTGGCACTTCAGATCTTCATTGTCCTCCTCATTTGGGGGAAAAGAGGGACAAGGATAGGACATCATTTTTATGTAAATCAAGGAAACAACCAAAAGAGGACACCTGGAAAAATAATTTCTTTTTCTTGCAATACAGATTTAATGACAGACAAACAGAAGCAGACACTGACTATTTTCTTCAGATCACTTAAATTCTTTGGCAAATTAAAGATTAGAACAATGTTACATCCTGGAAGCAAAAAGGAAAAGGAATATGAAAAGAGACAAACTGTGGTCATCACTATTCAGAGATTATTATATGTTGTAACTGCATACAACTGTTTGGTGATCATTTCAGCAGTGTTTCTTTTGTTTTGTTTCATTATTGCAGTAATAAATATAAAATCTGTTCAAGGAGCATGTGGTTCCTTTGCATTCGCTGCCACTTTTTTGCCACTTACACTGAGCCAAGTGCTGAAAAGTGTTTTACAAATATGAACCTAATTTAATATTCAGAGTAAATTTAGGAGTAGGTATTAAAGTTCTTGGTTTAAAGATGTTCAGTAACTCTTTGAAGGTTACACAGCTAATGAATAGCAAAGGACAAAGGTGAAATTTGAATCCAGTTCTGTCTGAAACTAATGCTCAGGCTCTTGATTTCTGTGTCACTTAGAAAATAATCTGTTCCCTGTTTTTATTCAAAGGAGAATTGTTTTAGAGGCCTGTAAGTCAGGAAAGTTTGACACTGGAATGGTCCATCCAAGGAGAAATTGTTAGTTTTTCCATCTAGATCACATTTTAAATAGGATGTACTCCCATCAGTCTGAAATGGATAAAGCTGGTGCAGCCTGGCGAAAGGATAGTGGAACTATAGAAGTTCTTCTCACACATTCTTATGACAGCCTCAGAGCCCAGTCATTAACTAAACTGAAAAGTACAAAGGGACTAGTTGAAATCTTTCTCTGAGGGATATTACCGAAGCATGTTATTATATCTATGGACATTTCTCCCAAGGACAATTTCTCAAAATTATCTTTTAAGTATGTATTTTGAGCCAATCATGTAACTTCTGTGAACTTTGGTTTCTTCATTTAAAAAAATGAAAATAAATAAAAAGGAGCAACCACTGGTGAGAAGGTGAGGAGAATAATGAGCTTCTGCCAGAGACACTCAGTAAATACCACACAGAGCCTTTGAGATGGAAGAGATGGAAAACAGGGGACAGATCTCTTGTCTTCCTATCTACTAATGGGAATATGAAGGGTTTGAGAGCTGCTGAGTGTGCAGAACCTGAACATTACATTCCATATAGTATTGAATCCTTATATCAGCCCTTCAAGATAGGTGATGCAATCTCCCCTTTACCGATGGGAGACATTTATTAACATTGCAGTGCACAAGTTAATAAGTGACAGAGCACAGTCTATATTCTGGCTGAGTCCCAAACTCATATTCCTTCCACTGCACATGCTGCCTCTAGAAAAGAAGCATAAAAGAAAAAAAAAAATAGAGCAATGTGGTAAAAGCAAAGAAATAAGATGTGTTGTCTTGTACACTTTCCTCTAGAAGAGGTTTAGAAGAAAGAAGAGAAGGACTACCAGAAGAGATGAGAGAGCCTTAGTAGCATCCAGAGAGGAGGAGAAGAGGGTATGTCATGGAAAGCTTTGATAGAAGAACTCATTTCACAAGGGAAGAGAGAAGCTGCCTACAATATATTATACTATGTGCTGGGACCCTCCCACTAATTCAGTGAGGATGAGGCCAAGGATATGTTACAATGTTTTGGATCACATCAGCAGAGGAATCAAAGATGACCCTGAATTTTTAAGTTGAGGGGTCTCATTGGATTGTATGGCCAATAGCAAGGATAGAGAATGAACAAAGAGGAGCATTCCATTTAAATCACTTTTAAAATAGGATGTACTCTCATCAGTCTGAAATGGATAATGTTGGTTCTGCCTGCTGAAAGGATAGTGGAATGAAACTTACAGAAGTTCTTCTCATACATTCTCATGACATTCTCAGGACAACCTCAAAGCCCAGTCATTAACCAAATTGGAAAATACAAAGGAGAAATGGAAATGGCTTTGTGTGAAGAATATGGGTTTAAGGTTTTAAGAATGCTGTCTGTGAGGTGTTCTGGTGGAGGGACATGGGGTAGAAACATCCATCAACAGTCATGTAGAATCTCAGGCTCATGATTAGATTACTAAGATTACATCTTGGCACTTAGAGCTCAGGTCTAGAAGTGAGGACGTGTGGATGAGATACGTAGAGGTGATGGTTGAACTTATCATAATGGTCACAGACACAACCAATGAGGAGAAGAAAAGAAAGGGAGACAGATGGCTGGAGGCGGTGGCTCATGTCTCTAATCCCAGCACTTTGGGAGGCTGAGGTGGGTGGATCACGAGGTCAGGAGCTCGAGACCAGCCTGGCCAATATGGTGAAACCCTGTCTTTCTTAAAAATACAAAAATTAGCTGGGATAGTGGCATGCACCTGTAGTCCCAGCTGCTTGGGAGACTGAGGCAGGAGAATTGCTTAAACCCGGGAGGTGGAGGTTGCAGTAAGCTGAGACTGCACCACTGCACTCCAGCCTGGGTGATGGAATGATAGAGCAAGACTCCATCTAAAAAAAAAAAAAAAAAAAAAAGGAAGGGAGACAGACAGGTCAAAGGTTTGGGAGGGGAAATCTAAGGTCATGCAGGCCAATAATTAGAACAATGTTTGATCAGAAACATGACCAACAATGTCAAATATGCTTTTATATAGGCTAGGTTTTATTTGACATGCAAGAGTAGATGAGACTGGGAAGCCAGCTAGGGTTGCATGTGTGGTGGAAGTCCTTGATTGCAAGGCAAGGCCTTTATTTGCTAGTATAGTTGGCATATACTGCAAATTGAGTCTAACCAAAACAGCAGTGGTTGTGATACAAGGCACAAACTGAAGCAGAATAACACTTCACTGGGTTATATTAAGCAAATAAAAAAGAGAATATCTGATGAGTGTGTATGTAAGCTCTCCTGCCCAAAGGAATGAAAACAACAATTATTTTAACACTTGGACAAAGACTGCATGTAATAGAGGCATTATGAGGGAAGGAACTGCATCAAGGGCTAATGGGCATGGTAATTATTTTATTTATTTAAAAATAAATCTTTTCAAGACACAAAATGTGCAGTTTCTGCAATGCCAAGAGTTTACAACCCTGTATGCCAATATGCTTGCATCCTTATCTTGTAACCCAACTATTGTAGGCTGCATTGGAAACTTGGCATAGAAATATCATACATAATTATTGAAAAAGACAGGAGATTGCATGCAAAGTGCCTGGTCTACAGTAATTGAGCAGTAAATACTTGCTCCTATTACCCACAGTGAACAGTAGGCAAGAAAAATTAAAATGCTCTGAGGTGTGAAGCAAGTTATTTGTTATTTTTGTGTATTTTAAGACTCACTCAATTTAAGATGCAAATTACATGTGAAGAGGGGAACATAAAGATATGATGAAGGCCAGTAATAAATGAGCTAAGCCTGGCCTTGACTTTAAGAGCCACTGCTAGAAACTAAATTGCATTCTAATTGATTACATATATTAACTCGTTTACTCCGTGCAACAACTCTCTATTATGATTCCCATTTTATACATGAGGAAATAGAGGCACAAAAAGAATAAGTAACGGGCCCAAGTTCATACAGTCGGTATATGCCAGAGATTTCAACCTAGGCAACCTGGCCCTAGAGATACAGTTCTTAATTGCCGTGCAATATAAATTCTCTGTAGCTAAAGTCACTGTGCTGCTGGAGGATCATGTGAGGAAGAGATCAAAGATGCGGAAGCAAATTAACAAAATGAAATACAAAGCTAAATGAATAATAGAGGTTTGGACCATATGAAATTGCCATTTCTGTAGATCAATAGCATGTTGGCAATTTTGTGTGGTTTAACATAGAAAAAGGAGACACAGGAATATTTAAAAGCATGTATTGAACATGTGCAGAATGCCAATCACTAGACACAGATGATTCAAAGCTGAATAAGATGAGTCCTGTCTACAAAAATGCCCTGGCTAAGTAGGAGAGATGAATGCATAAACAAGAATTACAATAGAATGGTATATTTTCAGTAATTCAAATATATGGATCAATGGCTTGCAACCTTGACTGAACATTGGAATCACGTTATAATTTTGTAAAAATTGACCATTTTATAATTGAGATATCCCATCGGAGATAGCCTGATCCATCTCCTAGGGTGGGTTTTTGAAAAGTGACAGGTCATAAGCTCTGAA